CTATTTTAAGTGTATCATATACCAAATAACTCCAGTTATTTGATAGTTCCGATCATAGTAGGGTATCGGATAATAATATGTATCAGATATCTAACTACCGTATCACAAAAATAATAAACTAGCTGAATGCGCGCTCTATCGTTATATGGTAATTATCTTGAATAGAAACATAAAAATAAACATGACATATGCAGTTTTTGATATTTTTCTAGCAGTAAGTTCAAGTAGAAAAGGTAAGAATCACAAGCAAACTTTTAGATATTTGAGTATGAATAACAATTTTAACAAAATATAAAAAATATATTATACTAGGAAAACAGAAACTTTTGTAATTTACGTACGTACATCATTTACACCTTATGCAGTAGTTGGCGTTTTTTATGCATGAATTAATAATTTAAAAGTACGGTGCAAGAAGTCTAGAATCCACAATTATGCCTTATAAAAATTAACTCTAGAAATTGATCTGGCATAATACTGTATTGTACTGTATCTGATATGCAATGTAACGCACGTACGTGTATCTTTATTGTTGATTTCAATAAAGTTGGAAATATTTAATTTCACTGTTTATACACTTTAGCTTTAAAGTGTAATCTCGGTTTTTAGATCTATTGCACCGTAAAAACTACGTTTTTCTTGTCCGTGAATATATACACTTTCCATTTACTATCATGGATGATGAAAAATCAAAAAACGAATCAGGTAAGGGAATAAAATCTTTCATTAGCGTTAATTTACGTATTTAAGCTCTATTATACTCCTTTTCATCAGATAGCAGTATTACGAAGAAATATAAAAGACTAAACAGCCTTGAATCTTTGTCAAGCAATGATCCTACAGAAAAACAGAAAGGTAAAACATATAGTAAGAATTATGGTAGAAGAGTAATATAAGATTTCTTGCTAAATGATTTTTACAGATAAGTCTTCCGAAAATGATGTTGAACTTGACCGAGAAACAGTCGATACTCCGATAAATAATCAATATGATAGTCGCTATGACTTGTGTGAATCAATTCCAGGCCTTTACCGTTTATTAGACCTATGCAAAGATAAAGGGTCGAACGGTCTTGGTAAATATGAAATGCTGATTGTATATCATCGCGTATAGTATAAATACTACCTTGCTGAAATCTGTAAGCCATTTTTATGTCATATTTTTATATATTTGATAGTTTTAGTCCTATACGCCATGATTGAATCCCGTAAATGAAAACTATCAATTGCATAAAATATGACTTACAGGTTTTAGTTAGTGTCACATAAATATTCTGATAACTAATTGTTAAGATTGGACTTATATATAGTTGACAAGGTATTAATTTCTCAACAACATTTGAAGAAACTATGTAATGAAATTGTACCAAACAGCTTTAAATCGATTTCTAAAATTCGATTCGAGCGCTTGAATTCCTGTCATGTTCGTCTTATTGGATGTTATGGCAGAAACGACCTTATTGCAAAGTTATTATTGAATAAAAATGTTATTGACCAAACTATGTGTGTAAATTACTTTCAACTTATAAGTTCTGCGATGGATTATCATTTAATTAATATTATCATAAATTTAGTTATGAATCGCTTCTGATACCTTATGAAACAAACGCACTGCAACCTTTATCAACTCTAAGGCCTGGTATTTATCTTCAAAGACTGTCAGCAATTATATCTGATGACATTACTTCTCCGCAACAATTTTTAGTTATACACTGGAGTGAAAATGGCTGTTATGAAGATTCTGCATCAGCTTATCGAAAAAAGAATATGACCAATTTGCATAGGCAATGTCATCCATTAATTTGATAATAAAATTTGACTTCAATAATAATATATTTTTTCACATTATAGATTATTTTTGTTTTTTTTTGTTTCTTTTTGCTTTTTTTTGCTTTTTTTTTTTTTTGTTTTTTTTTTGTTTTTTTTTAAGCGAGCGTCTTTTACTATTATATTAATTACAGATAATGATGTAGAGAATTTTGATTGGAATTTACTTGGTAAAGATTTTGAGGATGATGATGATGATGATGATGATGATGATGAAAATGAGAATAATAAAGAAAGCGTACTTCTTCATGATTTTGAAGTCAAAAAGAGTCAAGAGCAAAAAGAAAACTTCGAGCTCTATAAAGGATTTGATGTAAGTTGGATGCCAAATTCTCCATTATTATATAAAACACAATGTTAAAATAATTCTTATATTCAATAATGAAAGCTATCTCTTTTAATGCCAAGTTTACAAAGTTCTTATGCTGCTGAATGTTCCAATAAACTACCTTTATATCCATTGGTTGTTGAATCAGTATCGAATCAGAAATTACTTACCCGAAGGATAAAGACTGCCACAATAACTACCGAGAAAAACAAGAAATTGACTTGTGATTCTTTGCCTAGATTTCAAGAATTTTTCACAAAAAGACTTGAAGCACAAAAATATGCTCTTTTTATTGATCGCAGTTATATGACAATTCAAGAATTGCAAGTACTTGTTGAAGGCGGCATGAATATCAAAGATCTTTTTCTGCAATATAATATAGATTTGAAAAAGCTTGAAGATGAAAAGGTTGAATCGACCAATAAAGCTATCAAAGATATTCAACTAGACATGGAAATTGTAGAACAGATTTTTTCATACCAAATTTTAAGGCAGTCTTATAGGTATATTTAAATCATACATGCTAGCTGATTTTTTGGAATTATACTCAAATAAATCTTGAATAAATTTTGATCCACGGGCCCTTTAACAATTTACTATCAAATGTGCGTCTGATGGGATGTTCTAACAAGCCCAAAAATCATCAAAATCCAATCACTAGAACCTGAGATTATTAAGGTTTTTTGGTGCAACTACAATTTGGAGACACATCACGGCGATTCAGTACACACCCCCAAAATTTAAGATATCAATTTAAATTTTAAGGGTACATCTCATAATCAATTATGCATCAGTATATTCGGTACTATAAAAACATTAGCGTTAACAATCTAAATTTATGAAGCATTTAAATTCTAAAGTCTGAACAGAATAGACCGTAATGATTGGTTAAATCTCGTCTAATCTAATGTCACCATATTGTAGACCCCCAAAAAACTTAATAAACTCAGGATCTAGCAGTTGGATTTTGATTATTTTGGGCTCGTTAGAATCATCTCATTAAAAAGTACATTTTAATAGTAAACTCATTAAAACGACCGGTGGATCAAAAGTCATTCAAATTTAAAAAAAGTCATAGCCATATGACGTATATTAGAAGTCTTCAAATAAATATTTATTGTATTCTTGATCATTTAGTGATTTTGAGAATGTAATAGCTGATAATAGTCATCAAATACAGGAATATGAAGAAAGTAAGTATGTGGTTAGTATTTCAATACTAATATTAAAGCCATTAAAACAATTCTTTGATTTTAGCATTTGATCGTATTGATAAAACATACACTGGCATTATTCAAAGACTCGAAAATGAAATCAGCTACATTTCTGTTCTTGCTTGGAGTAACCTTAAAACTCGACTTCTTTTTGCAAAAAATTGCGCAGAGAATATTAATCAGACAGAATCTTCAGCAAATATTTCAGCACCAAAAATATTCTATGATGAAGAAAATAATTTTCATGAATTGATTAAAAAATATACCGCTAAAGCAAAAACTAATGGCTGGACCTTCTTTGGTCTTTTTAAATGGCTAAATAATTCAACTTCTGAAGTCATGAAAAAAATAAATGATGATGCCAAAAAAATTCCAGATACTGAATTTGTAAAACAAATTTTTGATCTAAAAGATGACAATATTGCATCCAGTTTTTTAAAAGTATATGAAGAATGGAGAAAACAGGGATTTGTTCAAACCGTAAAATATATTATTCAAGATTTCAAAAAAAAGTGCAGAAAAAACAAAGATAGTTGAGATTGAGAAAACATATAACAATGCTGGAAAGTATCATTTTGATCAAATATGCAAGAAAATCGAGGCAAAGTACTCTGTAGGCAAACGTTTAGTAATTTTAGATCTAGCAATAACAGGTATAATTTTAATTATTAAATTTTTGACATGAAAAATTAATTTTTTTATAACCCGGCCAAATAGTTAAAAAAAAATATTGTTATAAAATCTATTAAAATTAAAAGCTGGGTTTGTAGAATACTTTTACCGTATTTTCGCGTAAGGACTAGTGACGGACAAATTAGCCTTTTTTCTATGCGCATGGAATTCTGGCCTGCATTATGGTAGCTTGCTGTTAATGGGGCCAGAATTATGAGATTTCGAAAATTCCGAAATATTCCCATGTGCATGAGCGCATCACTAGTAAGAACGCTCATGAGCGTTATTTAGAAAATTACGCCCCTACAAATAAGATACAAGACTTCAAAATAGCGTCCATCTGTGTTCCAAAATAACGAGTATTTAATCGTAAAGTGTGCTTATATGTAGTAAGTAAACAAAAAATGCATTGGAACTAGATTTGACCTGCTTTCCAGCTTTAACGGAAGTTATACTCCAGATCGACACGATTCTAATAGTACAAAATTATAAAATGTCCCAATATATCGTCCTCAATGCTCTTCAAAGTTTTAAAAAATCTATTTATTTCTATTTATGTGATTTGCAGATAGGTAACTGCTTTAAAACTTAAGAGCCATTTTGATGATTTTCCACCATTAGGATCGTATCCACCTTAAGAATAAGTTTATTAAAGTCTGAAAACAGATTTGCTTAGTACTAGACCTAGTTACTGTGCATTTTTTGTTTACTATTTATGCTTAAAAATTTTTAATTCAAAATAACGCCAAATGCGCATATTCTAACTAACGCGCAAATGGGCGTTACTACGTGAAAATATGATAATTTTAAATGTTAAAACAATAAAATAGATTTTATGGATTTATAAAATATTTTATTTAATAATTTATAAATTAGATGCATGGGGCAAGAAAAAATATAACATGCATTATGAAGTTGAAGAATTCCTTTCCGAAAAATTATGTTGTGCTATCCATAATATTGATCTTAGTCAGAATGATAATCACGAAATGGATAAGGATGAATCTTTTGTTCCACGACCAATAATATCCAGAAATGGCATCTCATTTGATATTGATTCAGATACTTACGAATTCAAGTAATAATTAATAATTATAGTATTTCTTAATGGCTTTAACTATTTATTTATATCTAATTAGTTTTATAAACTTTATAGGAAAATTACTCAATTGAGCAAGAAATTTTTATTGTTTCTTTGGAATAAGATAAATAATAAGTTAGAAATTTATCTTGGTACCATTTCGCATTTGCAGAAAGCTTTAAATTCGCAATCTGCAATAAAAAAACTATCAATTGAAAAAAATTTCATAATAGCAATTAATGAACCTAAAGGATTGATTGCAATTTATGATAATAATAAAGGACTGGTAGGTATTTATATTAATTAGCTATGAATTGCATTGAATAATTTCCTAATAATTTTGATATATTGTTATATTGAAGCTCAATACATTTGTAACTGATGAAGAACAAAATGATATTCATTTGCAATATCGAAACATTCAAATTAAGCAATGGTACCTGGAAATTCCTAAAATTGCACACTTATTTTTTATAAAGAATACTGAAGACGTTTGTTTTGTGGAAGAAAATGGTGAAGCTCGAATCTATAGTTTGATAAATGACAATTTTCGAGCCGGATCTGCTAAACTCCCAGCTAATTGTACTCGAGTAATGAGTACACCAGATGGAACTTGTTTTGTTGCGTTCGTGAAAGAAAAACTAGCTATTGATGTATCCGAAGTAAAAAACAAAGTAATCGAAATAATTCCCAAGAATAAGTGTTCAGAAATGACAAATAGTGAAATCGAATTACTGAATACTAATGAAACAAATGCATCCGAAGGAAAAAATCAATTAATCAAAACAATTCCCGAGAATACATGTTCAGAAATGCGGACAGATAATGAAACAACAAAATCATCAAGTATTGATAATATAACCAAAAATAAAGAATTTGAAATTATTAATCAAGGAAGCATAGATGATTCAATAGAAACAGATTTACATCAAGATACAACTCAAGCTTTAAATAGAGAAGTTGTTCGTGGTTATGTATTTTTTTTAGAAAAGTTTAGTAAAGATGCAAACAAAGTAATCGAAGTTCCATTTACTAATCCAAACATTGAGCTTTTCCAATTTACTTCGCTTGCAGATAAGCAAGTTCACTTGGTAACAATTGATTTATATAATAACATTTTACAATCCTTGATGGTTAAAATCACACATGCAAAGACTAAATTCCGGTTTGAACGAAAAACTAAAGAAAAAGCTTTAGGAAAAGTAAAAATAGAAAGTTATGATCCATTTACAGTCATTGGCCAAAACACAAAATTCACCAAGGATCTTCAGATTGGAGACTTCTTAGTTATTGGTAATGAAAAGCGTCAAATTATAAAAGTAATTAACGACAGCGAATTGAAAATTACCAATAAACAGTTATTTAAGTCACTTAATTTTGGCGAGTGGCAACGATTTCAAATTGAACCAAAGGCAAATATAAATGGGTTGCTCGATGTATATTCTATGGTTTTCACAAAATATGCAATTACAAACCCGTTTGGTCAAATAGATAAACCATTAAAATTGACAATAGTCATGGACCTACGTGATGAATTTGATATAGATAGTTACAATTCCAAGTTTCAAACGTATATTCGCAAATTATTTAGAAAATTTAAGAATGAAACAAAAAAGCCTATGGGACATCTTGAAAAATTTACTACAAATTGCATTTCGTTTGAAAGTTTTGATAATCTTACAGATGAATATACAGAATACAAACTTGGCAAGTAGGTATCTTTTATATATTTTCACTAATTATAAAAAAATATATATTGATATCATTACCATTTTTGTCTATATATAATTTAGTTGGATTATTGACTTTTTCTGTCTTATCCCCATACAAATTGCTGTTGCGCATGAAAATGAATTTATACCAATTCGAGATGGGTTCTATGAAGAAATTGAACATAATACGTTAGATAATGGGTTTGGATCAATTGGAAACATATCAAAAGCAATTTCATTTGGGTGGTATGAATCTATATTCGAACATTATGCTGGTCTAAAAGTAAAAGTAATTTCGTCTATGGGAGAGCAGTCCTGTGGCAAGTTATTTTTCCAAAAGAAAAGTATCGACAGTGTGATCTGCAATTTTAATGTTAATGGACGGGTTACTGTCAGAACTTATAATCCTATAATGTTTAAATATTGCACGACTTCTAAATGTATGATTTTAATCTTTATTATGCAGGTAAAAGTTATTTACTAAATCATTGTCTTGGTTCAACTTTTGATGGATCTGCCATGGTTAGTTTGTCTATTGTTTGCATATGTCGAATCTGAAGTTGCCACCTATTTGAAGCCGCAACTTCAGATGCAACATATATTTATTTCTTGTGAACTAATATTAAATACACTTTTAGCATTGCACGGAAGGTGTATGGATGTCATTAGGTAATTGCTCATGCAGTTAGCTTCTTAAATTAAATGCATAGTATACATTGTTAAATTCCTATTATTTAATATAGTTAAAATCGATGAAATTCTTTATGTGGCACTTGATTTTGAAGGTAAAATTAATACTTTGTATGTGTAGAATGTTTTCTTTGATGATCATAAATATGAATATATTTTATAGGATTGGCAAGCATTGAAAGATCAGCACAAGAAGAAACATTTTTACAACTTTTGAACGCAGCACTGTCAAACCTTGTACTTTTTAAAAGTCAATTTGTAGTTAGTCGAGATGTTTCTTCGATGTTTCAACGTTTTCAAGATGGAACAAATTATTTCGGAGATGACCCTGACATATTTCAAGTAATACAAACATTATTTGTTCAGATCAGAATATTATTATAATGTATTGATATTTTGATATTTTGATTTTTTTTTTTTTATAAAGGCACGTTTCTGTATCGTTATTAAAGATGTTGCAGTAGTTGACAGGGAAGGAATCATTGAAGAATTTCATTTAAAATTTGCAAAGATTGTTGACAGGGTATTTTACTATCATTACTCTTTATAGCTAATTTACTGCATAAATTATTGATATAATTAAGTCTTTTATTATTTAGGAGGAGGAAGATAATTTTATAACAAAATTATATCGCAACAAGATGTCGATAGTTGCTTGGCCAATATTTACTGATTCAGCATTTTATAATTCTCTTAAACAATTTAAAATTAAGCTGGATGAACAAGAATCTCAATATAAAAATGCAAGAATGTTTTTAGAAAAAACAAAGGTAAATAAAGTTAAAAGTCGATCTTTTTTAAAAAAAAATTAGTAATTTTATTTTGTATAAATATATAGGTAATAATGTCAAAACTAAAGTAAGTGTCACTGTGCCACAATAAATGAACTGCTTTTTGTGAAGACTATACTTATGCCTACTGCTCATTAATCAAGAGCGTGTGATTGGGGAAGTGTTCAAGCAACAATGATAACCATTCGAACATTGGAGTTGAAAAAATTTCTCAATAACGCTGTATCCTTTGGATATGAACAAAAAGACGATGACCCATTTTACGAAGAAAATAAATCCATAAAACATCTTACAGTAATTATGTTATACGTTTTTGATATGATTTGAATATTATACTTTAGTAACTTATAACTTACGTAGTATAAAATTATTTTAATTTTGCAGAACCGAGATGATGGGACTTCTATTCCTGACAATGATGTTTTCCTCTCTGAAATTTTTGATCACATTAATAACTCGACCAAAATAGAGCATGATGCTGGACTTTTATTATTCGAAGAGAAGGGAAATTTTGTTGAAATTTCGTCTAGTATGTAATCTAAAAGACAGGATCAATTTGATTCAATATTTTGTATTTGATTATCAGTGAGATGGATTATCGAGCCTGAATTAAAATAATGCAAACCACAATCAAATTGGTACTAAAGATTTATTATGAGTGTATGATTCATAACTAACAAGTATTATATATATATTTTTCATTAGACTTAAGGAAATTTTTCGAGGAAAATGTTTATCCTCGTGGATCAATTCCAGACTCTGAATGGGTGAATTATTTGGATAAATTTTTTAAATTTTTATTGATCGTCGAATTAGAAGGGTAAACGAATAGTTCGAAAATAATCTTACAAAATTCTCTAAAGAACATAACGAAATCGTTATTACAAACTATGCACTTGAGCGTGAAATTAATCGCCTTAATTTATTCTGGAATATTTGTCGTCTTAAATGTGATAAGTGTGGGTTGTCTTGTCTCAAGGCTAGTCGACATGATGATAACCCAAATGATGCAAGCCATGATTGCCAAACAGATCATAAATGTCATAATGAATGTGAATTCAAAGAAGTTCATTCTGATGGAATTATCCCAGTTTGTGTACACTTTGCTGCACATCAAGGAAAACATAGATGCGAAGTTTCTCACGCGTGTAGTGCTTTATGTACCCATTCTGGAAAGAAAATTGCCAAGGTTTATGTACAAAAGATATTGGACATGAAAGTATAAAAGGAAATGAGACACATAAATGTGACTCAGAAATGCATTATTGTGGGGAACCATGTTCCTTAGAAGCAACAACTTCAAAAGGACCATATAAATGTCAAAATGAGTGTATGGTAAGTTTTTTTTTATATTAAAAAAAAAATTTACATATCGATGTTTTCTCTAAAATTAACCAATATAAAATAAAATAGATACCATGTGAAGTAGCACACGACGTTCATAAATGTCAAAAAGACGTGTGTCCAATTGAATGTCCGATAAAGAATTGCCAACGACGCTGTGATGTTAAAAATCATTTCCATGCTCTTGAAAAAAACGTGAATCATTTCTGCGGGTAAATTAAAACGTTACTAGTCGAATTTATATATTTACATCCTTTTTCTTCAAAATTACTGTATGATAATAAATATATCTATTTTTTTTTAATTTAAATTGTACGCTCGAATTTTTACTAGAAATGAGCACGATTGTCAGGAAAAGTGCGAAGAAAATGGCATATGTAAGATTGTGACAGAACCAACTGCAATTGTTCAGGAAGAAGCAGAATATACAAACAAGTATGTATGATAATATTTAATGAGATAATAACTACAATAACTACATTGAATTTGGATTAACCTTCTGATTATATCGATAGGTTTGGAAGTTTTATGTTTACAAAAGTAATTATTTCAGTACATGCACTAGTTTCAATAAATAAAAACATGGTTTTAGACTAATATGTACTAATATATTATGTTGCATTTATTTAGTATTTGCAAACTTATCAAAGATTACCTTGTTGTGTAAAAATCCCACCATACATGTTTGAGCATGTAGGACAAAAACATGTCCATGAAATAAAGAAGTCGCACGTATGCAATTCAGAATGTCCAAACGACGTTACACATATTGTTGAACAAGAAAACAAGCAAAACTTTCATTTTTGTGATGTGAAATGTCCAAATTGTGCTTATTATGTAAGTTATATTATGCAATTGAATTCATTTTGCAACAAAAATAATATTTTATCCGATAATTTCCAGTGCACGTTACCATACGGCCATAATAGTGAACATTGTAATTATCTAATGATGATAAATTTTCTGCATAATATTCCCTATTTAATATATAACTCACTTTATTTACCTTTTTAATAGCAACTATTCATGGAAATATGAATTTAGGCCAGACCAAGTTGATTCTGTGTTTTACATTACCCCCCTCTCCCTTCCAGGCGAGGGGGGGGGGGGGGGGGGGGGTGGGGTTGACGCACCCAGCGCGGGGGGAGTCTGTTGTGCATGCTTGTCGAGAGTAAGTACTT